ATCGCCGCGCTCCTCCCCTCCGGCCCCTGCGTCTGGTGCCCCTTCTTAACCGCCGCGCTCCTTCGCTCCGGTCCCATCGTCTCCTTCCCCTTCCTAATCGCCGCGCTCCTTCGCTCCGCGCCCATCGTCTCCTTCCCCTTCCTAATCGCCGCGCTCCTTCGCTCCGGTCCCATCGTCTCCTTCCCCTTCTTTGCCGCCGCGCTCCTTCCCTCCGGCCCCTTCGTCTGGTTCCCCTTCCTACTCGCCGCGCTTCTTCCCTCCGGCCCCTTCGTCGCGCTCGCGCGCTCGTTGCGACGACGGCACAGGAACTGCAAGATGCTGTGCGTGTCGGATCGCGGGTTCGAGTCGAGGTGGAGGCTGACGAGGGCTGGAGAGAGTGTTGCGGTCTGAGGATCCAGGTCGCCGAATATGTCGGGATGAAGCCGGAGTGCGTAGTTGCGGATGCTGTTGTCGAGCTCTCCCCAGGTGCGTGGACGGCCGTCCTGCTTCTCGGCACCTCGAGCCATCGAGAGCCGAAACTCGGCTGGGGAACCTCGACGACCAGTTTGGCGGACTGCACGACGACGACGTCGACCATACTCGGGCAGCCTCCACCCGTTGTGAGCCTGGATTTGGGCGAGAGACGCTCCGATGGCGTTGGCAAACTGCGAGACCGAGGATTGTCCGTCGAGCTCCAGCGTCTTGCACAACTCAAGCTCCTCCAGGCAGCACGATGACCGGCCCTGAAGGGCCGAGAGCGAGTTGTAGATCTCGAAGACGCGGCGGAGCGGCTTGTCGAGGGCTGCAGGCGGTGGCGAGGTGGGCGGCTCAGTCGGGACGGACGTCAAAGAAGAGAGCGACGAGGTGCTGGCGCGACGGCGCAGATGCGACGATGTGGCTCGATCAACCTGGACGTCGTTCGTCGCATCCTTAGCGCCTTGCACTGCGTCGAGGCTTGCTGTCGTATTGTCACCGTCGGGCGATCGCGTCGAAGCGTCGGCGGCAGCGAGGTCGGCGGCAGCAGCGAGGTCGGCGGCAGCAAGGTCGGCGGCAGTGAGCTGGATCGCCAGCTGAGCCGTCAGGATACCACGGACTTTCGGCGATGTCGTTCCGCCGAGATACGTGAAGTGCCGCGCGGGGTATGCCGTTGCCGGGTAGCCCCAGGCGTTGATGACGACGGCCTGCTTGTCGACAAGCCTATTGGCGGTGTTCGTCGCGTGCACGACGAACTGCGCGACGTGGCCGAGGGGGAAGATGTGTCGGAAGCGAATGCGGTGTGAGGCGTAGATCGAGCTGTAGAAGACTGGAAGGGAAGCATTAACTCCTCAAACTTCGAAGGTGAGGCAAGCGAACTCGACGCACTGTCGGAGAGCAACCGCAGAGCTTCAAGTTGAGGGCGTTCGTAACCAACCCTATCGATCGGCTCCATCCTCGTGCGCGAGCGGTGAAGATTGCGCAGGACCGGGCCGACACAGTCCCGAGCAGCGTCCTGTATTGATCTCTGCAAGTCAACAACGGGGTGAGCGAGCGGGAAAACGAGAGAACGTACATCCGCTCCGGCTGGACGCCCGCCGCAGACACCGCAATCCTTCACCGCTTCCATCGCGCCGTGCGCCGCTCGACTCGTCCGGTCGTTGCCAGCCCACATGCCGGTCCGCGCGTCCTTCTCGTACAGCTCCGGACCGCCATAATGGATGCACTGCATGTAGAAGTGCGGGCCAGCGTCGACGGGCGAAAAGTCGCCTTTCGCAGCCTTCGCCGTCTGCGAGTCGATCAGGCCGGCGAAGTGGAGGAGCAAGCCGTCGTAAGGGAGGCCTATGAGGAGGGCGGTCGGATCGAGGGCGATGATGGTCGCATCGTCTTGAGACATGGGTCGGCGGTCGAGATCAGCGGGAGGGCGAATGAAGTCCTCGTCGTCGGACGGAGAAGGAGCCGCCTTGTCCTTTCCCTTCTTGCGCGACGAGACGGACGCATTGCCCTTCCCCTCGTCCTGCTGACCCCGCCTTCTCCGCTTGACGGTGTTGCGGAGACGCTGACCCTCGGCAGCGAGCAGGAGCTCGTCGCGCTCGAGCGGCGTCAAGCCGACCGCATCCTCGTGCTTGGGCGAAGCGAGCGCCGCAAAGACGGCCGCTTCGACACCTCGCGGATCCAGCTTCTCCTTGATCGCAGCGACGGCGACATCCCTGACGAGCGAGACGCGCCTCTCACCGCGGGTCGGGTGCATCAGGAACTTGTCGAGCGGTGGGCTTTTGAAGCAGTCGACGAGGTATTTTGCGCGACTGAGAGGCTGCGGTTTCGGCGACGCCGCCGCTGGCGAGGTCGATGCGTTAGGCGTAAGAGACGAGGCGGACGACCCATCCGACTCCTCCGATGCATACAACGCATCCGAAGCGTCCGACGCA